CCCCTCATCTGACCCCCACCCCCACTTTGCAGGAACAGACAGCGCAAGCTGGGGACGAAACTGCAGTGACTGGTGAGTGTGGCTGTCTCCAGCCTCCAGATCTGGCCTGCACGATGCCTTGCAGGGTGGATGGAATGACAGACAGAGGGACGAAGCAGAGACCTCTACAGACCCAAGTCACCGAGTGGAGCCTTTTTTTTCCTTATTTTAATTTTAATGAACAAGGTGGACCAAAGGGCTGAGCCAGCCCCTCAGCCAGGACCCTGGAGGGCCTGTTGCCGGGGGGCCTCACAGCCAGAGACCCTCACAGTGCTGCTGCCAGCCCCCAGTTGGGCGGAAAGTGCCCCTGGCGTGGGCACTGGGGCATGGGGTAGAGAAGGAGGGCTTGAATCTCTGGCCACAGGGCCAGGAAATCTAGGTGGCGTGAAAAATGCACACTATTTATTTTTTGGTTTTGTCAAAGGCAGATGGGATTTTGGAGAGGGAATGGAAGACCCAGCTCTGCGGGGGCTGCCCTGCGTACCGAGGAGCCCAGGTCAGCTTCCCAGGCCCTTTGCCCTGGGCCCGAGAGACGGCCTGGGGGCCCAGGCAGGAGGAGGGAGCACCCCCATGCCCCCCGTGCCGCCAACGCCATTCCAGAACCTCGGTCAGTGTTTCCCGTGTGGGAGCCAGGCCCAGAGAGAGCAGGCGTCTGCGCTGCCATCGCTGTGTCCTACCCGCATCGACCCTGCGCCGCAAGGGCTTTCTCTGGTTCCCTGTCCCCGAGACAGCGGTCCCTTTCTGATGAAAGAGCCTGCGCATGTGGGTGAGCAAACCCAAGCTGTTTACAGCTCTCTCCTGTCCTGCGTCCGCTAGTGGTTCGTCTTCATCTCTACCCAAACAAAATGCAGAGGAGGCAGGAGCTGGTGAGAGGAGTGGGGCAGCAGCGCCTACTGTCCCCACACTTCCCTGCCCTCTGTGTGCTCTGAGCATTCCTTGTCCTTCCCGAACCCCCTCCGAGAGGCTGGGAACCTGCTTGGGTCACCTCAAACCTGTGTCCGGGGTGTGGCTCACAGATCCCCACTGCCCAGCTCGGACGACGACTCCTCCCAATCTTGAAGCCGCTTTGAAATGGAGCTGTGGAGAGGAGATGTGTCCAGACTCGGAAGCGTCTAGAACTGAACCAGGCTGCTCGGGACCTGTGTTCAGGGCCCGACCCCCCTCCCTCCCCCGGCCGCCTTTTCTTTGTGGAGGTTCCTAATCTGCTGCTGAAGCACAATATTTTGGTGCTTTCTTTTCTCATTTGTTAAAGACAGTGTCCAAAGCCATTCCAGATGCCAGGACCAGGGGCCTGTTTCTGGGGAAGGTTGGTCAGTCCCCACATTTTCCTTTCCTTTCCTTCCCTTCTCATTTTTATTTTTTACTTTTTGCCTGAGATAAGCCAAGTGTGAGGTGGTTTGACTTAAGAAAAATCAATGAAAATTGTTTACTATTGTTTTAAAATAAAATCTTGAACTCTGGCAGCTTGAACATGTTGACTGAGCTGATGGGAGGAGCCGGGGACGTGGCTGTGCGGACACACGACCCGAGGGGCAAGGGCATGGTTAAGACCAGAAGATCGTGCGCGTCTCCAAGACACCTAGTCCCCTCCAGCCCCCAAAGCCAGGGTTGGAATGGCCTCTGTGACATACCCCACTGGGGTCTGAGGACAGCTCCCTTCCATTGAGTTTTTTTAGTCCCAGTCTACCTCCCCCTGTGGCGCTGGCTGGCTCTGCTCTCAGTGAGCCTAGCTTCTCCTTCATGTGACAGCCCTTGAAGACTGGGGACAACCAGCATGTCCTTCCTAAGCCTCTGCCAGGATAAACACCTCCACTCCTTGCTGAATTCAGTGCTTCTTTAGTGTGTGGACAGGTGAGTGTCGTGCTTTGGAAGAAATAACTGCAAACTGACCTGGGTTTTGGTCCGGGAAGATCTCACATGTCATGGAGCAGCTAAGCCTGTGTGCTACAACCACTGAGCCTGTGCTCTAGAGCCTGTGAGCCACAACTACTGAGCCCACACACCACAACTACTGAAGCCCATGAACTCTAGGGCCCGCGTGCTGCAACTACTGAGCCCGCGTGCTGCAGCTACTGAAGCCCACACGCCTAGAGCCCGTGCTCCGCGAGAAGCCACTTCAATGAGAAGCCCACGCACCACAAAGAAGTATAGCCCCTGCTCACCACAGAGAAAGCCCGCATGCAGCAACGAAGACCCAAGGCAGCCAAAAATAAATAAGTAAGCATATATATATATATATATGTATATATGTATATGTATGTATGTGTGTCTATATATGTGTATCTGCAGAGAACAGGAAACTATAACGTGAACCCTGGCAGATTTTTAAATGAATACTGGCAAATACAGTAGCTAAAAAGCAAGAACTTGGTAGGTAGATTTAACAGCAGACTAGACGTAGTTAAAGAGAAAAACTGGAGGTCAGAGGAAATCCGGGATGCAGCAAGAGAGAGGACGGGGCTATTTCATGAGGTTTCCCTGAGTCCAGGGTAAATGATGCTTTTTACCCCAGTTGGCACTCACCCACACGTTCACCCTGGTTGGGCTCTCAGCTGCCCAGCACCCCACCTGCAGGTTGCCCAACTCCTTTTCCAATTCAGTTGGTCACCAAGCCCTGCTCACTCCACCTTGTGTCTTTTGAAATAGCCACTTTCTCTGCCTTCCAGGCCAGTCTGGGTCCCAGCCCACTACCCTCTGCTCAGCAGCACTCATCCCAACCCATCAGGGCCCTTCAATCCATTCCTCAGCATCTTCCTAAAACATCGTCCTCAGTGTCCTGGGATAAAACCCAAGGCTTTAACTTGGCCCATGGCGTCCAGCCCTCACTCAACCTTGGGGCTCTGCTCCAGGCCTGCCCTTGATTCCAGCCCCTGCACTTTCCCAATGGAGAGAGCCAAAATCAAGTGCATCCCAACCCAGACAGACAAACTTTTAGAGGATCTAGGTAAAAGCCAAGTAATCTTTATTATTATTTTTATTATTCTCAAATTTCAAATGCTGTATTACACAAAATATATAAATTGAGGACAGTTCTTTTTCACTCATTTTGCAAAAAAAAAAAAAAAAAAAAAAAACCAAGTTTCATCTGCATCATTGGCATCAGGGTCTGGTTGTCCCTGGGCAACCTCTGGGTCTGCTGACCTAGTTCTCCTGGGTCCACTAGACAGGCAGTTTGGGATACAGCAGCACCTTCTGGATTTCATGCATGACACTGTACTTGAAATTTTATTCCAGACATACTGGTGTAACATTCAGACAGCTGGATTTTAAAAATCGATCCTGTAGGAGTATGTGACCTCCCCAAAACTTACCTCCCCTCTTGTCCAGAGACCCGTAAGACACTTGCTTGTCCTGCATCCAACACTTGCAAAGTGTGAGGTCACAGGTCACACCCTCAGGAATAATTACTACATCTTCATCATTCTTTTGACTTTTTTCCCCCAGAAGCTCCACCAGGGGACCTCTAAGCATTCCATCTAACACTGACTGGGGTTGTTTTAGGTGCTAAATGTGTCTTCCCCAAGCAGTACTTTGCTGTCCTCAAGAACTGAGTGAGCCTCTGTGTTATGAGACCTACAGCAACTCAAATGCAATGGAATGACCTCACTTCTGAAGGATAACGTTTTGGGAAAAAATCCTGCCTTACAGTCAGACCCATACAGTTCTTACAACTTGAGTTTCAGGAGTCCTGGGTATGTGTCACTGCAGTGTCCTTGGCCTGCATCACTGTCTCCCCTCCCTGCCTGCCCCTGGCTGGGTTGGTGCAGCTCCGCTCTAGCGCTGCTCACATAGGGCACACTCGGCTCCTGCTGCGGGCCCTGCTTCCTGAGACCCAGCCTGAGGACACCAGGGGCCCGCCCCACTCCCCAGCTGCAGAGCAAATCCTCTGTGCTGTTGAGGTGGGATTCTCTTCCGGTCCTCCTGCTTGAGGTCCCTGAAGGGACACTTGTGCACCCCTGCCCTGGCAATACCCCACCCTGCCGGCCTTGCCGGGGTCCCAAGGAGCAGCCAGGCCTCGGGTGACACCCACTCCCCCATGGGCTGGGCTCCACTCCGTGCTCCCCGAGGCTTCGCCCCACGGCGTGGCACGTGCTCGCGAAGCCTGTTCCGTCATCTGCAAAACGGACACCACCTCAGGACCCGCCTCCCGCAGTGACCATCGCAGTTCAGCCAGGCCATGAGGCACCGCACCCACAGGCTGGGTAGCCTCTCCCACCCTTGGCATCTCCGTTTGGGGCTTCACATGTGTCTTCCTCAGGGCCAGAGTCCCTCCGCTCTCCACAGGCAGCCCAGCTGACTTTGGCAGGACACCCTGCCCGTACCAGGTGCGTGGGGCTGGGGACAGATACAATGTTCGGACTGGGTGCCCCATGATCTGGTGCCTGGTGGTCCCAGGCAGTGGCTAGGGCTCAGCACGGCTGCCCAGCCACCACTCCTGCTGGGCTCAGTGCAAGGCAGCAGATGAGGCCTTGGGCCCTGGGTGTCAGCCACACTGCCCAGACAACCAGACCCGAAGGTATAGGGCCCCACAGTCCCCTGGGAGGGCTGTCCCCGTGCACAGCCCATGGCACTGGAGAGGCCCAAGTCATGGGCAGGTGGGAGGTATCCGTGAAGAACGCAGGCCTGGGTCTGGTGCCGTCCTGGCCCAGAGCCCTGAGGTCTGAGCTGGCCCTTGGCTTCCTGACCCAAGCCTGAGAGCTCTGCTCCTCTGGGAGCCCTACCCTTGGGCCCACTGGCTGCTTGGACACCAGCTCCCAGATGCGGGGGAAGCTGCAGGAAGGCAAAGCCAGGCATCTGCCGCACCCTGCCTGCCTC